TCGTCTTTTATCTATTTTTAATTTTTTTTATCGCCCTCTTATTTCACTCACTAATTTCTCTGATGGTTGCTTATCATATTCAAGTACTTACGCACCTGTAGGTTAGGATTTTAGGAAAAGAGTGGAATCGTTTTTTCTTGACTATTCTATTGTTGCGGCTTCTGGGGTTGTTCATGCTAGACTTTTCAGGCAGAAGAAGAAAAGAAAGAACTGATTGGACTCCTGCAGAAAAACGTTAACGTCTTTGCTTGGGATCACTTGGACATGCCAGGGATTAGCCCTGAGGTAGTATGCCACAGTCTCAACGTTGACCCTAGCAGCACATCAAAACTGTTAGATGTCAACTCCGAACACTATCCCCCTTAGGCCATACCAAATTTTGCTGAAGCGACTCCACATAAGCGATTGAATCAATTTTAAAAAGACCCTAACCTAAAGTAAAGTTATATTTTTTATAGCCTGACGGGACTGGAGGAACGACAACTCACATATCTTGTGCAAAAGAACCTCGCAATGACCAAAATAGGACAGAACTTCTAAGCAACGAAGAAAGCCCATCAAACCATTTTATTAGTCTTGTGGGTGGAAACTGATGAGGCACAGTTGAATTCCAATCTGTGCAAAAAAGTCATATTGACAGATTAAAAAATCTAGTGTTTTTCTTCCGACTCTCAGTGGAATTAAGTAAATATCAGATCTGTGCTTGTCGTCTGTGTGTATAAATGTGTATTGGGGGGACACACCTGTAATACGAATTTCAACTGTGTTGCGTTCATTGTCCTTGAGGTTGTAGCATCTATCTTTAAAAGATAGGTATCCGGGTGGACAATGGCATTCGTAACTCCCTGTCGTATTCTCACAGATCATCTCACAGGCATTGGTATCACTCCTCGCGCATTCATGTTTTTCTGACATGCAAAACCAAATGAAAAAATCTATTAATTTGTTTGTCTACATCTTCTGCACAGGACTACATACATAGTAGTTGAGGCATATGCTATGTGTAGGTTGTGCCCAATACATGAGTGACAATAGATCAATACTTGTGTAATGTTTAATACAGACAAGTCTCTAGGTGTTTGCTTTTGTTGGTAATCAGCTAATGAAGATACGTTCCCATACTGCAGAACTTTTACCTTGGCTTCCATCAGGCAAGTATGGGTTTCCTTCATAGCCACGGTTACAATGGCATAGATAACTTGAGCTTTGATTGAAACAGGAAGCATTAGTGCCGCATAATGAACTTTTAGGCGGATCCAAATTGATGATGTCAAATGTTTGGCACGTCCCATATGTACTCCAGTTCAGCACAGCGGGGATCTTCTCCATTTCCAGCATGGCATAGGGGTCTTTTAGGTTAGTGAACCATTCTTGGTCAACCATAAAGGTGTATTTGCACTTTTTTGTATCATTACTTGAATCTATGCTTCTGAAAGTTACATTGATACTGCCGATGAATTGAGGGATTGTGGTTTGGCAGCAGTTGATGCCATAGCAACCTTTAATTTGTGAATCACCATTGCAGATGGACATGCAGCCCCCGATGACCCTATCTTGGTGGGTGATTAACACGAGGTTGTCACGACCCATGGTTGTGAATCGGTTGTAGGTGTCTGAGAAGAAAAAGGTTCGAACAAGAACAGGTGTGGATGAACATCTGGATTAACATTGCTCCTGTTTTCACAATTAGAAGTGATTACCGGGTTGTTGACACGAACAGTGCCTTCTGACAATGAGATTTCAAGCACCTCAAGGTCGAACCTAGTGATTAAAGGTTTGGGTGGGTTGAAAGATTTATCTCAAACAAAATATCCCCAGAACAATTGGCTCCACTACCAAATGGGAAACGAATGATAACATCTCCGCATCTGTCTTGACAACCAGGCTTTGCTAGTGATGCTGCTAATGCTGATGATGCTCTAATTAGCCACAACAATACTGTGATTTGCAGCACCATCTGCATAACCATTCTTTCTCTGTATCCCTCTGTTTTACTAGTCATTGAAGTTGTTTCCAAAGTTGCAGGCTACCGTATGCCTCTCAAAATGAAATGGCCAAAGGAAAATGTTGAAAAAACCTTTGTCGTGTAATTGTTGGTTATTTGTCTCATACGATGTTAAAAGTGATGTCGACCTACAAGAAATTTGTGTCCATGGATGACATTGACATGTATCATTTCTGGATTTTCTTGCTAGTCTCTGTCTTTGAAAACAATGTTTTTTAAGATTGTTTCTTGCTTTATATTTTGTCAAGTAAATAAGAATTATTCTTTCCGGTCTTTAATTCTTGTTGAAATATATATATATATATTTTTTTGATATTTGGCAAAAGTTTAAGTCAAGATTGAGGTCGAATCCAACGAGTATGGTGTGTAAAATAACTTGTGAAAAATTAATGAATAAGTTAATTATTTATGTTGTTCTAAAAAAAAATTCTTCGGAAATATTTTACTACAATCAAACATTATTGATTAGTTGCAAAATGACTTCTTAACAGTATTCTCGGTATAAATGTGGTCTGGTGATTGGGAGGGGCATATTTTGCAATCTTTTGTATAGTTGAAGGTTTGATTTGCAACCTGAAATAGTCCAAGTTATTTTTCACCTTCTTATTAGTTTAGAGAGTTTTTTTTATACTTTTACCTTAAGTAAATACTAATTTTTAATTACAGAAACTATACATGAGAGTTGTAACAATTTTTTACAACAGCTAAGGTTCTGAGTGATCTTCTCAAACTTGTATTCAAGTCATAAAACTGAACCAATTATGTGGAAATAAAAACCATATATGGACTATGGACTCTATGTTTATGGTTTATACAATTAATCAGCGGACTCTTATATAATAAAGATTATTTATTTATTTAGCAACTAATTAAGAGTTTCTGTATAACTCTTTATCACACCTAAAGTGAACCACAGCTCCTTAAGATTTAAAATTTGTAACAACCTGAATTCAAGGGTCCGAATCGCTAATCGAGTACTTACCTGAACTCGATCGAGGTCGTCTAAGGCATTACCGTTCTTTCCTATGTCAATGCATAAAATATATACGTCATCCTAAGACATATAGTACATCATATCACTAACATCACAAAAAACTCACAAATGCAGGTAGAATGGCAGCGGCGTCTAAGTCCGTGAATACAAGTCATACGTCCATACTTCACCGGTTTTTTGAAAATGTTAAGATAAGGGGTGAGCTCAACAACTCAGTAGGTAATGCCTAAAACACCGGTTTTGGACTCCCTTGAGCCAACAACCAAAGAACAGAAAAAAGATGTTGGAATCATACATGGAGAATTATCAAATTCACAATCCACGTCATTCAATTTAAAAGATTATCATCACATAATCAGTCATAATCATAGGTGCCAAAATGCCATGAAATACAATGCATTGCGTAATCGTCCCGAGCTTGGTCTCAAACCAACCCCAAATCCCCACCTACGCTAACTGATTTTACCGAGTTGGGATTGACACTCTTCGTGTCAACTTTATCACGCCCTACACCGGGCCGCGCCCACTCTAGGTCAAGTTAGCCCCGTGCTTGCGATACCTGGTTCGTTTTTAAATCATTTTCTCACAATTCCTTTTCAATCACATTTCTTTACAAGAATCATTTCAACCTCACTTTTCCCAAACCATGCCCATGCCATGAATGGAATCATGCATGAATGAAATTGACAATACACATACTTGCATTTTATCAACTTAATCATACATACTTATCATCGTCATCATGTATATATATATATAACCTCAAGAGAACAATTCAACGCAACGCGTGTTCATTAAACAACAATGCAACTAAGCACATATATATGCACAATTAACATTATTTAGATCATGTTTCTCCATATAAACATGTAAACACATAATCAACTATTCAATCCTGATATTCGTCATTTTAAGCATGCTTAGCAAAAAATCAAATAAGGAACTCAACTAAAGTCAAAACGTTACTGTTTAGACATCCCTATCGGTGGGAACATAGCCAACGATGAGGATATTCTACTATTTCAAAGGCGTGTCTCCGGAATCCAACTCCAAGTGACCCAAAACTCTCTCTAAAACCTTAGATCCAAAAACTTTAAAAATTCGTAAAATAATCACCGCTCCTCCAAAAATTAAATTCTTTGACTATGTGATAGAGAACGACGAGAGGAACATTTTTATCAAGGAATGAAGACCGGAAACCAGACCAATTGGCTGGAAAATAGAGGAGAAATTTGAAGCTGAAAAAAAATGGATATAAAGCCATTATAATGGCTTATGGTGGTGGGTCCCACAAAAAAATAAGTTTCTCTTTTATTAACTTTAATATACACTATATATATATATATATATATATAGTCTAATTAATTTACAACCACACAATCAATGTGACCATATAAAATGCATTAAATAACCATGTATGAAATGCAATAGACCCATGACATAATTCCTGTGCACAATATCCCCAGTAGCGGGTTCTACCTGGGATCTCCTCCCTAGTAGCGGGTTTCACCTAAGACATTTTTGCCTGAAAACAGAAAAATGTCGAAATGGCAACCAATATATTTCTAAGAGTCTTGAACACAAGAAAATATCCCAATCAACACTCTGACACACCCCATGGTTTCCAGCAAGCAAAACGATAAAAGACAAATAACCTCGAAAAATTTAAAACAAAAAAATCTAAAAAATGAAAAATAATAAAAATTGGAAACATTACAAACTCGATCAATTATAGTAGTTGATAATCTAATTATTGATAAAAGAAGAATAAGAATTGTAATTATAAACAAATCTGCAAGTAATCCAGCACAATGCTGGTAAATTTAAAAAAAAAAAAAAAAAAAAAAAAAAAAAAAAAAAAAAAAAAAAAAAAAAAATCAATTTTACCCATATACAACATCTACAAGAAACGAAATAGTAAAAGAGGGCAAAAAGAAACTCCTACTACCATTTCCCACATGTAGCTGAAATATGGATAAGACGTCTCCATCCTTTACTCACTTATGGTGATTCAAGACTCTCAACATAAGTAACCGAATCCGAATCATGAATCGCAAAATTGGTGTGTATGTGGTTCCTAGTTGTCCCATATCTTGGATCACAAATCAGCATTTTGTTCTCTGATATTTGCATCACAAGTTCACCATTCTTCATCAAATATAAGGGCATCCTTATAGATGTCCACACAAAAGGCATGGCTATTGTCCACACAACAGAAGGAATGGTGACCAATACAAACCAAGATTCTGGCACACCATATTCTTTCATCGCATGCACATCCCATACCCCATTGTTGTTACGCATCACACAAAGCATTCCATTCAAAACCGCCAAGTCAACTAATAAGAACCGTCGTAGAAAATCCGGTAGCATAACCTCCCCGAATTCCTCCTTTGCTAGGTCAAGAGAGGCAATGGTAGGACATAAGTCCTTATCGCTCATGGCAAACCAGTGCAAAAATCCATTTACAAAGATCCCTCTTTCTCTGAAAACATTGTTGTAAGGGAAGTCTTGAATTCTTCTCCAGGAATTTGTCTTTCGAATATAAACCTCGACTAATTTGGATCTTCTGATGCCATGTTCAATAATGTTGTAGCTTTCACCTATAACCACCTTATAGTTATAGTATCCATCAACGGACTCGTCATACCCGAACCCGTAAAACAATTGATAATCTTTTAAGCAACTTGAAGGTGGTGGTAGTTGCTTATATTTTCTCGTAGAAGGGTTCCATAGAAAGAGGTTATTACCGACAAGAATACACAATAAGCCATTGCAAGAGCCCATGATCATCTGAAGACGTTTCTTCCATGGGAAGTCGAGTTCGGTGAGAACAAAACTGCCCGGTGCTTCCAAGTCCATAGACATATGGTAATAGGAGGATGACACGGATGACAGAACGAGTCGATGGTGACAATGGTCCAAGTGCCTCTTGAGGAAGTCCAAACCTGTCAGCAAGTTGTTCCATTCTCTGCAAACACATCTGGATCGAGCTAGAGACTTGGCGGGTAGTAGCAAGAGAATGTCATAGATGATGTCGTTGGGGAGAATGGGCAGCTTGGGCTGTGGTGGTGGTGGTGGTGGTGGTGGTTGGGATTTTATGAACCACTTTGCTACAAGTCCCCAGAGGCCATGAATTTTGACTTTGTTTGCCATTGCTACACGTCTTACTTTCTTAGTAAATTCATTAGGGTTTTATATAAATTTGTATTCGTGACTGAAAAACCAAATCCTGACCAAATCAAAACTGATCGAAGTAACAGTGAATAAGGAACATGGAATGGAAACTATGGGAGCTATGATGGGCCAGTTTTGATCCTAGTCCAATTTTCGGCAATTCAAGGATAATAATTATATTTAAATTATTTTTGCGTTGTTGATATATGATCTTGGTGTAAAAAATACCAATATAAGGCCATTATTTATTTTTTTTAATTTCTTGAACCCGAAATTCTATGGGTTGGATTAAAGTTAGCGGATATAAAAGGCAATTTGAAAGACTCTAATGTAGGACAGTTTATTGGTGGCATTTAGTAGATTATTTTAGTTAGGTTTATTTTATTTTGAGAGAGTTTAATTGATAAGTTTTTTTTTTTTTTTTTAAAGGGTAAGATGTTACATACTTGATAATAGTAATTCTATTAAGGAAAGAGTGTAGTTGTCTGTATAAAAACTATAAAGGGCAAAATTGTCTAATAAAAAAAAAATTACCTAAAATATTCAACCTATACTCAAAACCCAGTTTTAAAAACTCCAAATTCTAGTTTTATTGAAACGCTCTACCAAACTAAATTTGGTAACCAAAACTAAATTTAGTAATCATTAAAAGCGCTTCTAGTAGTTACCAAACAAATCTAAATGCAATTTTTCAAAATAAAAGCGCTTTTAAGCAATAGAGAAACAATTACAAACGGACACTTTCCTTAATGTTGCAAATTGTAATATTGTAGTCAGCAATGGCTTTTTATAGGGCAGTATATTTGTTAATGCTTATCTATAAAATTTGAAATTTTCATTTAAAAGAAAAAATAAAAAATTTAAACTTTGTATATTCAAAGTTATATCCCTTTATTTCTTTGTGAATGTTTTATTACTTCTTCTATGTAAACTCTATGTAATCTTACACTTTTTTTTTTAATTCAAATTCCTCCCCATTTTGTGTAAAGAAAGCCAGTGCAACCAGAAAACAATGATTAAGAGAAAGATTGGATACAAGCAAGGGCAAATCTCTGCGTATGTCTTACCTCAAAATAAATAAATAAAAATAAATTAATATAGGTAATTTTAGCCCAGTCAAAAAAATATATATTATTATTATTAGTTCATTCAAAAAAATATTAGCCCACTCCCATTATCCGCCCGTCCTGGGACCCATATTGCTTTGTTGTGAGAAATAATGCTCCACTATTCACTATAACTCACAGCACGAATAATATTGTACAATTCACCAAGGTACTCATGAAATTAATATTTAGACTAGAAAACCAAGAGAGTTTTGGGTTCGATAAAGAAAGTGTTTTGAGACTTTGTGGGTGAGCGTGTCATGAGTGGATACAAGAGACATTGGCAGGCTACCATACCGTGCAAATTATAAGGTACATAATCGAACCTGTGTATGGATAGGAGGAATGATAGGATTTGTATACTCTAATTGGTATGAGGCATTTTGAGATAAAATTTAAGAACAAAATTGTACAAACTCGAACCCAAAAAAATTTGAAACACATTTGGACCTGTTACAACTACAAGTCTATACTTAAATGTATTTAGTTGACAGAACAGTGTTAAGGATGATGTTGAAAAGAAGTGTGATGTTCCAACATTTATTGAATAGGGAAAATACCAAAACTAATACAGTTGGGAGAAGGCTTTTTGAATTGTAGGTTGTGAAGTAGAGATATGATACTTACATTCTTACAAGACAAACAAATGCAAGTTTGCAATCAACGCAAAAACTGGGAATCAAATAATCAATAAATATGACGGGGGACGTAATCAATCAATAAGGAATGAAAGAAAATAATATAGGATAAAATAGTTAAAAAGAGCTTTCAATTTTTTTTTTTTTTTTTTTTTTTTTTTTTTTCAGCAATCTGATTGTAAAGTGTTTCTTAAATGGACTAACAAAACAATTCAAAAAAAATACATCTTCTCAACTGAAACAAGAACTCATTGCTGATTGTAAAGTGTTTCTTAAATGGACTAACAAAACAATTCAAAAAAAATATGTCTTCTCAACTGAAACAAGAACTCATAAAAGTCATGTTTTCTTTTGAAAAACTTGAAATCCAAAAATTAGGGAAAGAGACTACTGCCGTTGGAATTAATTCGAATATATCTAAGAATCCTCTCCTTCCTAGAGGATGTTGATCAGTGATGGAGGAGATGAATGAATTCCCCAAACAGAGAAATTTTGTTCAAGTTACTCTGTCTGGGAGGAGAATATGAAAAAAGATGATAAGGAAAGATTAGTGCATGAGGCCCGTGTCACTTTTCATTGGGCCAGGACTGTCCAGATTACATCAAGAAATAGTTGCCTGTACCGCACTCACACTGCAAGTGCTGGGATCCATCCAATATGCTGTATCGCAGGGACAGGGGAAGGTAAGTTAAGTTGGTTGTACAAATAAAGAAATTGTACAAGTGTAAAGGTTGAGAAGACCATCATAATTCCCATTTCTCGTATATCAAGACAAATTGAGAGCTTCTTTAACCGTGCATCGAGTGGGGATACCACATGTAAAATAACCCCGGAGTATTGTATATATTCTCCCACTGTAGACAGGCCTTGGGCAACAAAAACAACCCAAGAAATAACCTCTCCCAAACAAAGCACGAAGCTAAGAAGAGCAAGCAAAGAAAAAAACTAAATGCCAACAGAGAAATAAGCAAATGAAAACCAGAAGGCAGCCTCAAGGCCCTCAACAGCATGAATTTAAACATAGAATTGCTGTTTTATGAATTTAAACAAAATGCCACACCAACCACTGGATACCACCACCAAACCCAACAAAGTACAGAGGCTTTCCCAAAGCAAAGAACAGCAGAGCACTCCAACAAGAACTATGAGCAGATCAATTTCATCTTAGGGAATTTATATTTGTTTACTCCTTTCCCCAGCTCATTTTTTTTGTTGTGCCTAACTTAATTGTTGACCGTAAGTTAGTTTTTAGATTATTTTTTTCTAGGAGCTGTGAGAGATTTCTTTACCAACTTCTCTTATAAAAAGAAATAGATCAAATAGAATTCAAAATTTCGATTGAATTACAGTTTTTCATTGATCTTATTCTATAAAAAAAAACTATGTTATTCATAAATCATGTACGTACAACATCAGTTCTCATGTTATTCAATGGTACAGTTGGCCACCCAAAGAGTCTGAGTCTGAATGTTCTGAACCAATCATGTGCAATTAAAAACCATATGTTGTATGTATGTTTATGGTTTATAAAATTAATCAGAGGACGAGATTATTTACTTTTAACATATATATATACGTAATACAAGAAATGAAAAGGTAAAAGAAGGCAAATAAAAAAAACAAACAACCAAGTAGCCAGTAAATGAGAAAATGATCTGTTTTGTCATTGTTGATGTAGCTAGTGAATATCTTCCTCCTTTGCTCACTTGTTTTGTTATTGTTGTTGTAGGCCTCCAAGTGCTTCTTGAGAAAGTCCTCGGTTAGTAACACGTACCATTCTCTGCAAACACATCTGAATCTTGCTAGAGACTTGATGGGTAGTAGCAACAGAATGTCATAGATGATTTCCTTGGGTAAGAAGGGCGGTGGCGGCGGCAGCGGCGATTTTATGAACCACTTTGCTGCAAGTCCCCAGAGGCCAAGGGTTTTGACTTTGCTTGCCATTATGTAGGGTGGGTGTGATTGGATTTGGGTAGATGAGGCGTAGGGTTTTAATTTTCCCTTCGTGACGAAAGAAAATAACAAAGTGAAACAGAAAAAACTAAGTCCTACGAGGATAGGGAACTATAAGTCTATAATCGCCAGTTCTGATCCTAGTCCAATTTTCACGAATTAAAGGCGCGAGGTTTCCAAGTCGTGTGGTAAGGCCGAAGGTTGTAAAAGTAAAATACGCCAAATTATTGTAGTAAAGGAAAATGATTTTTTTGACAGACAAATTTTAACTGATTTTAAACCGACTTAAGTCAAAAGACGACGTGGCTGTACACTTCACCACAAATTTCAACGAAACTTACATAATAAAAGAAATCCCAACTAAAACGATGGAGGCAAGAAGGGATATATAACTCAACTGGAGGAGAGAGAAAACAGAACAGAGGACGAAGAAGATGTAAAAGAGAATAAGGAGCGCAAAGAGGAGGATCTAAAATATAAATCTAGGGTTTCTTCTTAAGAGGAATAATGTTTTTTTGTCGATTTGCAAGAGAGCATTGACATGGGGATTTGAATCTGGTTCATAATAGGTGATAAAAATAAAATTAAAAATAAAAAATCAAATCTGGTTCACAATATATACACATATGTGTGAGAGAGACAAAGAGAGTGATTGCAAAATCGTGATCGGAGAATGTTGATTGCGTTTTCTTTCCATCAAAGAGGAGGATCTGAAATATGAATCTAGGGTTTCTTCATAAGAGGAATATTGTCATATTTACTGTTTTTAATTGGGCATCTATAACATAAAGAGTAGCAATGATACGTGTATCTATGGTTTAAGTTTTGTAAATAAAAAAACCTTCGAAAACGAAGAAAAAAAATTCACTGTAACAAATTGCAATCATCATTTTTCTACCATAAATGAGACCCTCTATTGCTTATATTTTGCATAAATAATTCATTGCAATTATTTGGCAATTATTTGGTGTGAGTATCACGCGTAAAAAATAAAAGAAATTGCACGAATTATTGCAATAAATTGTTACACCTACTATTTTTAATTGGTCATCTATACCATAAATAAGGGAGTGAGACCCTCTGCTTGTTTGTATTTTGTATAAATAATCAATAAAAAATATTATGTTAGGTAATTCACTGCAATTATTTGGTGTGAGTATCACTTATTGTGTGAAAAATAAAAGAAATTTATTTTATTTTATTTTAAAAGATATATTTTTTTGGATTTTCTCTTAAATTGTGCCTAATATAGTTAAGAAATTATTACATAGTCCCAGCCAAT